AACAAAAACAGAATGCACACCAGTCTCCCCTTATTTCTTAAAGAATAGGGCAGGCTCCAGTAGTCCCAGCTACTCAGGAGGCTGAGGCAAGAGGATTTCTTGAGCTCTCAAGAGTTTGAGGTTGCTGTGAAATATGATACCATGGCACTCTACCAAGGGTGACAAAGTGAGACTCTGTCTCAAACAAACAAACAAACAAACTAAAAAGAAAAAAACAGAAAAGAATGGCTTTCTTGGATCAGACCCATACACTCCGCATGCTAGGGAAGTGCATCACCCTCTAGTGTTAAGTACATAATGTATTGTTTGTTTTTAGCAAATACTTATGATCCTGTCATGAATTTTAGATTTTTGCAGCTTTTTTGGAAGATATGTGTTCCTAACTACTTTTTCTGAAGAGGTGTTCTTTGTTTTATTTGCCCTAAATTGCTTCTATTTCCCAGCAGTCTTTATTAAATCTGGCAAATCATCAAAAATGAATGTACTAATTTATACTTTTATAATGTTGCAGAAGAAGAATATTATTGTCAACATTTTATGTTTTACAATTTTTATAAATTAAAAGGTTATTTTCTTTCTTTTTCTTTATTTACGATTAATAGGGTACAAATGATTACATTAGTGTTTTCATTTGTTAGGTAAAGTCCCTGTTGTAGTTGTGTCCTACACCTAGGAGGTGTGCCATATACTCTTACATTGTACCTATTAGGTGGAAGCACACCAATCTCTCTCCCTCCTTCATCTATACCCCCTCCCTCGTTGCTCTTATCCCCAGGTTGAATTGAGTTTTCCTCTTGTGTGGGTATGTATTAGTTCAACTACTGGCTTCATATTAGTATTGATTACACTGGATACTTTTTTCCGTTGTTGTGATACTTTACCAAGAAGAATGTGTTTCAACTCCATCCAGGTTAATATAAAAGATGTAAAGTGTCCATCTTTTTTATAGCTAAATAGTATTTCATGGTATACATATACCACAGTTTATTAGTCCATTCACGGGTTGATCAGCACTTGAATTGTTTCCACATCTTGGTGTTGTAAATTGAACTATGGTAAATAGTCTTGTACAAATGCCCTTATGATAAAATGATTTTTTTCCCTCTGGATGGATTTCCTAGTAATGAGAATTCAGGATTAAATGGAAGGTCTATTTTGAGTTCTTTGAGGATTCTCTATATTTCTTTCCAAAAGGCTATATTAATTTGCAGTCTCACCAACAGTATAAAAATGTTCCCTTCACATTTGCACCAGAATCTGCAGCTTTGGGACTTTGTGATGTGGGCCATTGTCACTGGGGTTAGGTGATATCTAAGAGTGATTTGATTTGCATTTCTCTGATGATTAGCAACAATGAACATTTTTTCATGTGTTTGTTAGCCATGTGTCTGTCTTCTTCAGAAAAGTTTCTGTTTGTGTCTCTTCTCCCATGATAGATGGGATTGTTTGCTCTTTTTTTGTTCATTAATTTGGGTTCTCTATAGATTCTAGTTATCAAGGCTTTGTCATATTATAACATGCAAATATCTTTTCTCATTCTGAAGGTTGTCTATTTGTTTTAATTTTTCTGTCCTTAGCTGTACTGTAGCTTTTCAGTTTAATTAAGTCCTATTTCTTTATTTTCATTGTTGCTATAATTGCTGCTGAAGTCTTCTTCATAAAATCTTTCCCAGGCTGACATCCTCAAGAGTTTTTCTCACATTTTCTCCTAGGATTTTTTAAATCATTTCACACCTTAGATTTAAGTCTTTTATTCATCTTGAGTTAATTTTTGTAAGTAGTGAAAGGTGTGGGTCCAGTTTCAGTCTTTTGCATTTGGTTATCCAGTTCTCCCAGCAACATTTATTGAATAGGGATTTTTTTCCCCCAGTGTATGCTTTTGTTTGGTTTATAAAGATCAGATGTCTATAAGAGACTGGTTTTATCTCTTGGTTTTCTATTCTGTTCCATATGTCTTATGTTCCTATTTCTGTGCCAATACCATGCTGTTTTGATTACTGTAGACTTGTGATAAAACCTAAAGTCTGGTAGAGTGATGCCTCTGGCTTTGTTTTATTACTAAGAATTGCCTTGGCTATACAGTCTTTCTGGTGCCATACAAAAACAAAGAACTATTTTTTCCAGTTATTCAAAGTATGTTGTTGTTATTAATGGGGACTGCGTTGAATCTCTAAATTGCTTTGGATAATATAGGCATTATAGCAATGTTGATTCTTTCCAGCCAAGAGCATGGCATGTTCTTCCACTTGTTAATGTCCTCTGCTACTTCTTTTCTTAGGGTTTCATAATTCTCTTTGAAAAGATCTTTCACCTCTTTTGTTAGGTATATTCCTAAGTATTTCATTTTCTTTGAAGCTACTGTGAAAGGAATTATGTCCTGGACTAGTTTCTTGATTTGGCTCTTGTTGGAGTATACAAAGGCTATTGATTTGTGGGTACTGATTTTATGCCCGGAGATGTTACTGCATTTCTTGATTATTTTTAGGAGTCTTGTGTTTGTGTTTCTGGGGTGCTCAAAGTATAAGATCATATCATTGGCAAAGAGTGAGAGTTTGACCTCCTCTGCCCCCATTTGGATGCCCTTTATATCCTTTATATCCTTCTCTTGCCTGATTGCATTGGCTAGAACTTCCAGCCTGATGCTGAATAGTAGTGGTAATAGAGGACATTCCTATCCAGTTCCAATTCCAAGTGGAAAAGCTTTCAGTTTTATTCCATTCAGTATGATGTTAGGTGTAGGTTTGTCATAGATGGCTTCAATCAGTTTAAGAAATGTGCCACCTATACCTATATTCTTAAGTATTCTAGATGAACCCTGGTTCAAGAGCCATCTAAAAGGAGAGTGTCAGAATCTTTGGTGTTGTTTGGGAAATATTCATTTATGATCTCCTCCAGTAGGGCTCCCATAACTTTGGGTTATTCTTTTTCTCCTTCAGGGATACCTATAATTTGCATTCTTGAATACTTCATGAAGTCCCATAATTCTTTAAGCAGCTGCTCTGCTTTTCTTCTCTTATCTTAAATGTCTGAGTTAGCTCAGGGCCCCTTGGCCATAAAGGGACTTTCCTAGGGAATGGGAAGCAGCCCAACTCACTCTTAGCATGGCTGCCCAGCTCAGCAGCCATGCCAGAGCCAGCTTGTGCTGGGACACTCTGGGTTGTTGGCCTCTGGAGGCCCTCCCATAGTGATAGGCCCTGCCATCAGCCAAACCAATGGGAATTCCACCCTGCCTGGTGGTTCATTCCTGACTGCTGGTTACTATTCAGTTCACTTGTTAATTTAAACCCTCCCAGGAAAGCTTCAGTGAGCACCCAAGTCCAAGAAAATTGCAGGATAGAACTTCCCTGTCTCTAGCACTCTGCCAGAGTGTTGGCAGGCCTCTACCACACCCAGGCACCTGCCTTCAGTGCTGTTATTGCACTGCTCCTGGCCTCCTCCTACTTGCTAAGTTTGAGAATGGGCTCCTGGAGTCCCCTACTATCTCACTGTGTCCCCAGAGCAATGTTTCTGGGTAGACCACGCTAGCCAGAGGTGGTTGTTGTCCCCAGTCTTACTGTGAGTATCTGATATTTAGATGTTTCTAGTCTGCCATCTTGCTCTGGGTGTTTAATTTTTTCGATACTTTCCAATTTTTATTTTTTTTGCCAGTCTGTATGATAAATGCTTTTCCATTGTTTTAATTTTCAATTTCCAGATTACTAATGAGGTTTAATACTTTTTTGTGTGTTTATGGGCTTTTTGTTTTTTCCTGTGAATTATTTGCTCATCTTTCTATCACAATATTGTTTATTTCTTACTGATTGACAACAATTATTTACATATTTGATATATTAATCTCTAGCCTTTTATATAGTTTATAAACATCTTTTCTGAACTTGTTAATTATATTTACTTTGTGTATGGTGGCTTTCCTTTGTATGAGTTTCTAAGTTTGAGGAAGTCAAATTTAACATTGTTTTCTTTTTAATGTGCTTTGATTCTTTTTTAGGTAGTCTTTGTTACCCAATGTTTATAAACATATTCTCCCATGTTTTCTTCTACTATTTCTATAATTTGTTTTCCATATTTATATCTCTAGTCAATCTATAATTTATGCTTATAATAATTGCATATTTTTCCAAATGGCTAACCACTTTCCTATTTTGACTTATTGAACAGTTAATTGTTCCTTTCTTGATTAGAATTGTTACCTTTTTCACTTACCAGATTATCTTTTATACATAGGAAGAACTCAGTCTTTTTCTTTTTCTTTTTATTTCTTTTATTTTTTTTTATTTTGTTTTTAAGGTCATGCAGGTGTCTGCCTCATTCTGGTCATAGCACTGTTTTATCTAAGAGTTCAAGTCTCATTTAATCCTTAGTAAAGAAGTTGTTTAAGTCAGATGGTGTTTGTTATTTTCTGGAGGACCAGAAATGTAACTTCTTAGCATTACTAATTTGACCAGCACAGCATTTTACATGTTTTTCCCTCCATGATTTGTTCTATCAAAAAAAATGCTTAAAGACCAGCCTGTATAGCACAGTGAATAAAAGCCAAGAAAAGAGACTATATCAAAGAGAGAATCATTAGCGGCCAGCCAAGAGATCAAGAAAGATATGAAGGGTCTATGAGATATGAGATGCATATCCTTAGGAAGAATATTTCCACCCCACATTATCATCCTGCTTTTCTGATCCTACTGCCTCCACCACAGCTCAGGGATTTATTAAGAAAAGCCTAATAACTGGATTCTGTTCCTGGTCTCTTCTCTTGCTAACTATCTATGTAGTTATGGAATTAGGCCTTTTGTGGTATCTTTCTTAAATACTTAAATACTGTTCCCTGTTTTCAGTTCCTGTTAAAACTGAATTTTACACCATATTTTCTCCTCCTATGAAACTTTAAGTATAAGTTACTATTTAAATTTTTCTCTATGTAGAAATATTTGGAATATTATATATTGTCTAAGTGATGCCCATATTTTCACTTACATTGAACTTTTTAAAATGTTCTATGCCAGAACCAGAAGATGATGACATGATAAGAAATATTATTAGGCTAAGAGAAAAACTTGGTTGGCAAACTATACTACCGCAATACAGTTTGAAATACAAAAGTTGTGAAATTGCAAGTCGGAAGACTACTGTAAAGGTATTAGTCTATTTTATTTAATTTTGATCTTTAAAAATCAATGTTGAAATTATATCTTAACTTTTATTTAATCCACTTCAGGCATTACATTAATTTCAAAGTATAATCATTGTATCATGGCAAATGCAAAAATATTTGACATCATTTCATTTTTTAAAGAATGGAGAATGGATAAGGCATATAAAAATCTATAGCACTTCAGAATATTTTCATGTCTCATTTCACCACTTCTTCTAACTCAGTGGGTTCCCAGGAAAAGGCACCATCTGCCTGAAATTCGAATCTACCCTTTTGTTCCTGAATATCAGTTTTTTTGTGATTTAAAAAGCAATCATAATCTTTTTTTGATATCCTATCCTCACTCTCTTACTGCCTGGTACCTAATTTTCTATCTGATCTGCTCTGTATTTCTTTATGTTTTCCATTTTCTCCTTACCCGCTGGTCTCTTTCTTCAGAGAAATTTTAGCTTTTCCAAGGTCCCATGACTAGAAGGTAGAAGCTGTAAAAGGAATGAAAGTCTGTATCCTAAAACCTCATTTATTATACCTGATTGAAGATTGAATAGGATCTTCTCTTCCTACTTCTAGATCAGGAATTCTCACAGTTCGGTTCCTAGGCAAAGCAGCACTGGAATCATTTCAGAACTTATTAGAAATACACATTCTCATCTGCACCCTGGATCCATTGAATCAGAAACTCTAGGAGCATGGTCCAGCAATCTATAATTTATTAGGCTCTCCAGATGATTTTGATGCACAATTAAGAACCATTATTCCTTCCCAAGAATCAGTAAACTTTTCCTGAAAAGGGCCATATGATAAATGTTTTAGATTTTGCAGGTCATATTATTTCTGTTGCAACTACTCAAGGCTATCATTGTAGTGCAAAAGCATTGACAGATAACACATAAACAAATGGGTGTGGCTGTGTTCCAATAAAACTATAATTACAAAAACAGGCACCTCGCCCTGGCCACAGTGTGCTGATCCCTGCTCTAGACTATTACTCGTTGTTCAGAGGCAGCATAATATAAAGGAAAGTACATGCATAATGGGATCAGATTCATCTAGGTTTGAACCTATATACACTCATTGTGTGGTCTCGGACAAGTTCTTAACTTCTCTGAACTTTAGTTTCCTTGGCCATGAAATGGAGATAAAAGTACTTCTCTTAGAGAAGTGTGAGGATTTTTTTTTTAACTTTTAAAAATCCATATTTTATTAGCGATCATAACATATATAAAAAGTAAAATTATAATGTGCAGATTAATGAACAATTATTTTTTTGAAGTTCTTTTTTTTTTATTAAATGATAGCTCTATACATTAATGCAAACAGGGGGTACAGTGTAGTGTTTTCATGTACATTTTGAAATACTTTCATCAAGCTGGTTCACATAAATTTCATGTCATTTGCATAGTCATTGTGTCAAAACATTTACGTTCTATTTCTAGAAAAGTTCATCTGTACCCTTGTTAGACAGAAATATAGATGATCTTTCC